GAAGAATACCAGTCTGTATTAATCACTGTTATTTCAAACTTGTCTCAAGTGAGATGCTCAAATTTGAATTTAGGTCCGTATTAATAGTCGTTACTTGTCTCAAATGATATACTCAGATTGTTATTCAGAGTCGGGTCCAAGTTCTTCAATTGAATTATAATAAGTGTGACATTTGTATCTATAGTCGCGATTGAACTGAACAACTCTTATTTAACTTTAAATTGAAATCTGAGTATCTACCCTTAGAGCTAGATGTGAAATTTTATCTGAATCATACGATATTCGTGATATTATATTTGTAATTGCAATTCAACTCACATCTACTCTAAATTCAGATCTGAATGTCACACTTGAGACAAGTTTCAAGTAACGACTATTAATACAGACTTAGAATTAGGTGTGAATTTTTCAGTTAAATTGCAATTACAAATGTAATATCACGAATATTGTGCGATTCAAATAGAAAACTCCGATATAACTTGAAATTCAGGCCTGAGTATCTCACGTGAAACAATTTTCAAGTAAGGACCTTAATATAAGATTGATACAGACCTAAGATCTCAGAAGTCGATGCTCTTCCTTCTCCTCTTAGATGTTCTTTTTTTTAGTTTGTTGGTTTTTTCATACTCTTTCGCAGGATCTATATCTTTATCGATAAGTTTCATATTATCGTTATTGAACTTCTTATCGCTTACACACGATTACTCACGCATATCAGAATGGCGAATAATACCACCGCATCTCTCGCGAGCCTAGTGTAGATGAACGTGCTTCTCTTCATACGCATTAAAAAGACATTAATTTTTTGCATTTTTAATTGAAAAAATAATTTTCATTCGATACCTTGGTACGGTTATTGTCTCGTAACTCTAGAAGAGTATAGAGGCATAGTAACATACCGAGACGTCAAGTCAACCTGTATAAAAGCAACGATGACGGTCGTCATATTGTAATAATGTTCATATTATTGTTTATTGACGAACGCTAAACGACTTTAATATCTTGCGTCTCGTTATTTGTGATCTAAATTATCCGACAAATCATGGCGAACAATTAAAAAGATCGCCATGCGCATTCTTCGCATTTTTCTCCTTTTTATTCGCCTTATTAATTTCTTCCTTTTACGTAATACGGACGCGTGCTTCCGATCGCAACTAATCCGAATACACAAGATTCGCGATCCCGATCGCACAAGATCCCACGAGGTGTGCACAGTAGCGAGTAGTCCGACCGATTTCGTTCAACTCCAAGACAACGAGACGGCAGTCTCAGATTCTGACGTGGGCCATAGTCGAGGCAAAGATAACGACCTTCCAGCGAGTCGGGAACATTCGTGAGGCAGGTTTTAATTTTCAAGAGGCCGGCCGTCTCTCAATCTCTCTCTCTTTTTCTTCGTTTCATTTTCTCACTCTTTCTACCCGGCCTCAGACAGCAGCTGTGCACGCCGACCGGGCGTTTCATTCGATTTGGCACGTGCCACGAAGCTGCCACCGTCACCGCCGCCGCCGCCGCCGCTGTCGCTGCTCTTGTTACTGGCCGCCTTCATTGCTCGTCGTTACTGCCTAAGCGGCGGTTCCTGGCAACCTTCGGCACCTGTTTCACAGCTGATACGCGGCTGCTACTTTTGCCTGCCCGATATACCATGGCTCGACTGCGTCGCCCTTAGCATTCCCCCTCTTCGCGACTTCGGCTTTTACTCCCCAGTTTCAAACTTCTTTTTGAGACCCGTGGCTGTACCCAAGATTTTCTCGTGTGTCAATCCGTTAATCAAGGAACGTGCAGCTTGCACGAGACTGAGTTGGGTGGTGAACAGAGCGAAATTCTGAAAATTTCATTTCCGATTGAAAAATTCAACCCAATAATGAATCAACTTCACATTTTTGATGTGTGCCAGAAAATTAATCTAAATTTTATTCTTAACATTTTTATGTCTTGTTTATTTTTTTTCTTAAAAATTTTATTCTTACGTGCTTTATAATTGAGGTGGTTTTTTATGCATTTGAGAATATATATATATATATATATATATATATATATATATATATATATATATAGAAAACTTTTAAAGATACTTAGACACTTTCAAAAGTATCTTCTCAAAATAAGATAAATCACCGAATTTCACGTCACCGAATTTCTTTTTTAGTTTAGCGACGCGCCCTCCCTCTCACTTTTTCTGTCCCATTAGCAGGGCCCTTTCTCCAACTTCTCCATTAGTTGCACCAGGAGAGGTCGAATTTTTAGGCAACTGTGAGATGCCTGAAAACCGAAACGTCTGGTTCTGATAGAGAAAAGAGAAAGAGAGAACCGCGCGTCTGTGTGTGCAGCGTGAGGGCCGGCTTCAAGCTGCACTCCCACGCTCATCGTCCATGAAACGGGGTGCGAGGTGGTGCAGCTACACGCGAGCCTTGCAGGTGTACTTAGAATATGCAGGGTCTGTCCCTACAGCCCTATTAACGATGCTACGGTCGCCACATGGACACACGGGAGTATGGGAAAACGAGGGCTTTGCGAGTAATTATTTCTACGGGAAAACACATCTAAGACGCTCGCTGATATAATAATAGTCGAACGGTGACATCAAGTGCGAATGGATGTGCTTAACTCTCAATTTTTAGATGGATCTGCACGATGTGAGATCAATTGTCATTTTTGTGGTTTTTGTCGTCCGACTTATGCACGGAAAAAATAACTTCATTAGTGTGACTGAATTTCCCGTTGCTTAGGAAGAATAGGGACTAGACGGAAGACTCGGTTATACGAGCAGAAAGGTTCCTGTAGGTTCCTATTCAGTCAATTGTTTTCAATTATCTCAACCGTGTTTTGAAGCAACCAAATGTTTTCGGTTGCAATAACAAAGCTATTTCTTGTTACCGAATTTTTGTCTGATCCCTATTCAGTTACATAAGCTGAATTTTTTTTCTATATAATAACACGAGATTTATTCTAACAATAGGGAAAGAACGGTAGCTTATTTTTATCTTCAAAAGATACTGTAGGAAGATACTGTTTGAACGTCATGTCATATTATTCCCTGTGCTTTAATTATTAGTAAAATATAAAAAAAAATTTTGCAGAAAAATAGAAATACAATTGAATTCTTTTATAAGCCTTTTAACAAAAATCTTTTTTTTTTTAATTAAGTAACGTAAACTTCAGGAACCCTTTCTTAATAATTATTAGTCGTACCTACTATAAATTGGGACATTAATTTAATTGCTCTCTGTTTCACTGCAATTACACTGCTAGCTACAATTAGCGCGAGAATATGATTTATTTGTTCTGAAGGCAGAATATGTACCGAGAATATCTGACCGATGCAATACTCGCGTGGTAACATACACACACACACACCTGTTCCATTTTTTCGTTATTAAAATTTAAATGTGGGAATATGGAGTATTCGCGCGTCACATGCATAATAATGCATGTAAAAACGTAAAGGTTGGTTGATTATGATAATTCGTCGAAATATATAGATTGTCGTCTATATATTTATCAAGTATTATCAAACGAAGACCGCGGATTTCAAGAAGCTTTGCGTATTAGTCGCACGAGCTAAGCTGATTAGATCGTGAAAATGAGAAAAATGTAATAAACACAACGAAGTTTAGTGATAATTATTCTCGTGAGCCACCTGGTTTCTTGCCTTAACAGTTACAACGTGTTCGGTTATCACCTGCTCTTTGTTGACCCTCCTAGCTAACCTCGAGTTAATAAAACTCGTCCTTCCTCTTCTCTCTTTTTTTAAATTACAACTCTGTATATAACGTATTCGAGTAAATGAAAAATTTATCAAATATTTAATGTATAAAAATGAAACTAATGTAACGAGGAGTGAACGGTATCGTAAAATAGATTTTGAGTTGAGAATTTGCGACAATGATTTACTAATTGGTTGGCATTTCGTGTCTCACATTGCTTTTCTATTCATTTTAATTTATTTCATTTATTTTTCCGGGTGTTGCATCATTATATCGAGAAATTCTGTACATGTAAATTCGTATTTTTATCTTCTAATTTAAAAAGATGACCAGGTAATTTTCATGTATCTTTATTTACTTTATTGTTATACCGATCAAAATCAGAAGTTTTTTCTTAATCTTCATAATTTCGTAATTTCATAATTTGCAATAACGATTCTTTCTTCTCTAGAAAGTTACTCGCTTGTTAAATGCACAAGTCGTGTTTAATTAGTGTTTGCCATTATCTCGCGGTTATATATTTCTGCGTTCTCTTTGATATGTCTAATTTTTTTTCAAATAATTGCTATATATTTTTTATTATATATATATATATATATATATATATATATATATATATATATATAAAGATAATAAAAACCGAACGATATATATAAAATGTTTAGGTAGCCTTAGATTTCATAGTAACCGCCAAGCCTGAGATAAGATTAGGCGACTTTGCTGACTTCCGACCACAAACCACGCCACTGAAAGCTCCCCTCGTTCCGATTATTAACACGAAGTCTTATCTTTCTTAGTTCGATAAAAGCATAAATATTTGACTTTCTTGAGGCAAATTACCCGGGTGATTCTCGAGTGCGCTTATTATATAAGTGATACATCTAAAAACGCATAAATTTTTTAAAATACGTTCCGGAAATATATTATTCTCATTTATTCGTAGATAACTGCTATGTAAATAACATTTCTTGCATGAGACACTATATTCAATGATATTCATATTCATCCCACACAGTTAATTCCATTAAATCCGACTTTTATATACGCAGTATTTATCCGTAATTATAAATATACGCAATGTGTATTTTAATGAATAAACAAAAGTAAGAAAAAATAATATATGGATGTGCTTTACTTACAAGGGAACATAGGCAACCCGAAAATTCAGAAAATTCTGAAACATTGTGTGCGAGTAGTTCATCCATAACATAAAACTATTTTTTGTTTCTGCTAAATTTCGATTTAACGGGTGAAACCACCCCTCGAAAAAACATAACATTTTTATTTCTAGCGAATATTTCCTAAAATACAAGGCATATGAAAAAATAGTTTATATAAAAGTGATAGAATATTTTATATTCTTTGCAACGGTGTATTCAAATTTTGCAAAAATAAAAAATTTTTAAACCCCCCTTTGAACCCACTTATTGGTTTCGAGGGGTGGTTTCACCCCCTTAAATCGAAATTTAGCAGAAACAAAAAATAGTCATATTATGGATGTACTACTCTACTTGTACACAATGTTTCAGAATTTTGTGAATTTTCGGATTGCCTATGTTCCCTTGTTAGTACGAGGAAAAGCTAACTTAAGTCTTACAAAAATTTGAAGAGTTAAGTAGGTCAAAACATCTTTGAAAAATCGAATTTTCAAAAGACTTGTAGACTTGAATCTTAAATCCAAGTTGCTGCGGTGTGCAATTTAACATGAAGGATTTGTACGTGACAGAGCTGATCTGCGTCACAACACTTCATTAATTTAACGATCGCGACATTGCTACGTTGCTAAGTATATACCATGTGGCGATTCGAAGGCTCTTCATTTACCGAACGTGCGCGCACAGCCTCAACAACCTCCGCGATGGAACCTCGGCGGCTCTCCGCGCGGCCAGCTCGCTTGGGTTCTCTCTTCGTGATCGTAGAGCGGAAGTCGAGGATAGGCGGAGTTGGTTCGGGCCAATCGTCGAGATACGCGCCGCCCACGTGTCAGCGGTTCCTCCATTGCAGAGTGTCGCACGCTGCGGCGAAGAGACGTGCGGCATTGTCCTTTCTTCCTTGATCCTTAGTCTGATTTAGCGGCGACGAAGCCGTAACTAAGTACTGTGGTACATATAAGAAATTTTATGATAAAATATGAAAGATTAGAGAGAGAAATTTTTACATTTACTGAATTTGAAATTTTTATGACAAATGTTTCTCTGTATACTTTACATTCTCTTTATACTTTATATCCTCTTTATACTTTATAATAGTAAATTTAACATACTCGGATTATAATAATTATTAATACTAAGTATTTTTTTATTAAGTATTTTTTTCACCCTTATTTTTACCAGTTAATAATTTATGCTTATATATTATGGACGCACAATTCTATTCTCATATATATCAATAAATATAATTTAATAAATCTTTTCAACATAGTGAAAAAAGTGAATAAATCAAATTAAATCAGTGTTTAAAAATAAAGAGTCTTCTACCTCGTTAATATCGACGAGAGAACACTGTGTACCGCGTTGGAGAGTACCGAAAAATAAAATATTTCTTTCTTCTGTTTTCAGGCGGTTACAATCATCTTCGCAGTCCCGTGTGCCAAGACGAGAGTCAAAGAGACGAAACGTCGCCACCGCCCCACAGCCATAGCACTCAACCACCGACCTCTCACTCTAGTACTCCTAATACTAATAACAATAATAATAACAACAACAATGCTAACAATGCGTACATCCATTTACGGAATTTAAATCAGCTCAAAACGGAATGTAAGTACTATATTTCTATATCTTATCTTACTCGTCAATATACTTGTAACATTAAGCATAAAGTACTTTGTTTCCTAAATGTCTGTTTACATAGTGTTTTTTTACTCAATAGTGTTCTCACTGAACATCTTTGGTATTGTACACTTCTAGTTGTTTTAAATAATTTGAATTATAACAGCAAAGAAGCAAAGTGTATTAATTTGTGAAAATAAACTTACAGCGAACTACAGCAATCATCACATAGCGGAACATCTCCAAGGCGGAGGTGGCGGACTGGGCAGCGGGGGTGATCTCACTGGTACAGGCAATAACGAGAGCGACTTGAGAGTTAGCACGACTGCCACAGAGAGTTACATGACGCCGGCACATTATTCCGGATACGACGATACCTCTGAGTATCACAGCTTGCCGCAAGATCACCAGACACCGCATTCTTATAATTTGGACAGTTCGCCAGAGTTCTATAGCACTAGCGGAATCCACATCGAGCCCAAGTATCAGCCGTCACCGTTCAAAAATTATCCTCGAGGTAATACATAGTCACAATCAGGATAAACTGAAAGAAAGAATCTGATTACTTCAAAGAGTATAACGTTATGCAATTAATGTATCAAAATAAAATACAGCTTATCTTTGATTTCTTACACGCATATATATTTAAAAAATTTTTATTTATTTATATTTTCCAAAATTTCTCTTCATATAAAAAATCTATTCATATAATTTCAAACATTATTTAAGATCCTGGGAAAGAATGTTTCTTTAAAAAGAAACTTTTATTTTATATAAAGAATGTTGTGATGTTAAAATAACATCTTGCTAAAATAACATCTTTTTATACGAAATTTTTTTAACGGAACGATAATATTCTCAAGTCAGTTCTGTTTTAATTCAATTTAATTAGAATTGCAACTTAAAAAAGTGCTAGTGCGACTCGCGAACGCTGATAACGTTATTGACACGGAATCTATTTGACAGGTCGCTATCACGAAGGTTATAATGACAGCGGGTACGGATACGATGCAGCGCCGTTTCAAACGGTTCCCGGAAGCGGGAGCGGTGCTGGAGGCGGCAGCGTTGGCGGTGATCAATGGGGTGTCGGACTTAGTGAACATTCTCTGCCTCATCCCGCGTTTTTACCAGGACTTGGACCACGAGACTCCTCCAATCCCCATCATCCTACGTCTATTGCCAATAATACGGATCAAAAGCCATTGCTGCAAAGTACCATGCTCCCAGGTTATGCAGGTAAATCCAAGGCTTTTTTTTAAAACAAAAATATTTTAATATTTGGAATAACAAGAAATATTTTGTGTTTTCAGGTGGCGGCCCATGTTTCACTGGATCAGGTCCAATACAACTGTGGCAATTTCTACTGGAGCTCTTAACTGACAAGTCGTGTCAGGGTTTCATCTCGTGGACCGGTGACGGCTGGGAATTCAAGCTGACCGATCCGGATGAAGTTGCACGTCGTTGGGGTATTCGCAAAAATAAACCCAAGATGAATTACGAGAAACTGAGCCGAGGTTTACGTTATTACTACGACAAGAATATTATACACAAAACTGCTGGGAAACGATACGTGTACCGCTTTGTATGCGACTTACAAAGTCTACTAGGGTACGTATGCAGCTGTTTAGATTTAAAATTTTACGTATTGTATGTTATATATCAGAACTGTGTTTGTGAGAAATTCACAAATTCATGCTCTTATTCAATTAATAAATTTAAATAAATTCCCTAATATGAGAAACACACTGAGAGTCAGAAATGTAGACATAATGTAAATTATAAATTTATCGTCTTTCAGATACAGTCCTGAGGAGTTACACGCAATGGTAGACTTGAAACCCGAGAAGAAGGAAGAAGACTGAGTTTTTGTTAATGAACATGCTTTAGGACTGTGTCACACCGATGAATGAAACGTAACACAATTTCTTCGCGTCGTGCAAAGAATAAAAAAAAAACGACGGGACGGGAGTATCTGTTATTAAGAGGAATCACTATAAGATAATTATTCAGATGTAGAAGACTGTGATAGTGCGTCTTCTTTGTTCAGATGTAACAAAATCGAATCGGTCGTATGTACCAAAGACAGGGTCTGCATACCATTGGTGCCTAAAGTTAATGAATCGTGAATTTGTTTCTAAGTGATTAATTTGTCACAGCAGATTTTAGAGGATATTTATAGGAATAACTCGTCAATTTATACATATATAAATATATATATTTTTAATGTTAAATGATTTTTCAACAACTATTGAGCACATCAGATAATCGTCTGATGATGCCCCTAAATTATTTATGACTCATCATTTTAACATGTGTGTTATATCTCGTTGATACAATGATAGATGACACGATATGTGATTGTTATTATGATAATTTTACTATAATAAACTTATCATACAATATACTACATAGCGAGCTTCAATCCGATATTTTCATGCTTTTCTATGTATAGATTAATTAAGATTATAACACTACTTTTCTCTCTCTTCCAAGCTCGCTTCTGACCAAGAAAAAAGAAAAAAATATATTTTATATTATTTCTTGATTCTCTTAAATATATTTGGTATGTGCTCGATATAGTAAAATATATCTCATATCCACTTTGCAATAAAAGATATTGCAAGTGTGATTCGAATTAGAAAGGTGCGTTATGAGTGAAAAAAGTATGCTGTTAATTTATATAGTTTTCTATTAAAATAACATTTATATTATAAATTTGACTTTCGTTCGCTAAGATATTTTTATTGAGAAATTGTGCATTTATGATTTAAAACTAATTTCAAATAAATATCTACAAAAGATCACAAAAAATAAAGAGAGAGGACTATGTGCAACCAGTGTTCCACAATATCAACAAAAGTTTTATGAAAATTATAAACAGAATTACAGAACACAAGATATAAAAGGATTTTATTTATTTTACTGTAATTTACAATTTGTAATTATTTTATACTAAAAAAATATCTGACAATTCTCAATTTTTATCTGTTATACAAAACTTATAATTTACTTATTTAAAATATAAATTTGTTATTCTTAGATACATGAATATATATTTGGCAAAAGTTTATTTTGCTCTTTTAATTCATGGAACATTGGGTAATGCAATTAGATCGAATTTTAAGCGATATATACATATCTATTTTAATTTCATAATTTATCACGTGTAATTTTTTACACGTGATAAACGTAAACGACCAGTGTTTTAATCAGGAAAAATATAACATCGAATTGCTTGAATGTAAATGATGTCGCAAATATACAGCGACGAAAGCATAAATGCTACGAATATCGAAAAATCGAAAAAAAAGCAATATTTTGTCTTTTTTTTATAGATATGTCGTGTATATATATATATATATATATATATATATATATATATATATATATATAAAGTTACACATACAAAGTTACATATACAGTATGTATATGACAAACTATTTTTATATTCGCTGTTTTTGTTAAGTTTCCTGTATCAAAATACTTTGAAGCTTGTTTCAGACGATCTGTAATTCGCGACAAAACTCTTTAGAATGCTCCTATTTGTAATTTTACATACTGTGCGAAAAGTACAAAAAGCATTTGAAAATTTATAAGTGTATATGTGTACATGTATATGCATACTTTTATGAATGTAATTCAGATTCTTCAATTGCTTTCTGTACTAAGCCCATTTTAGGTAATCCAATTTACAACGGGATTCTATCTGCTACTATGTCTCGAGTAATATATTGGAAAATTTATGCACGTAAATATGTGCACACTGCATGTACAGATGCATTTTTGATTCTTCAAATATTCTGCAGTATTGCACAACACATGAAATTGTGATAAAATGTTAAAATAATTGCAAAGTAATGGTTCTGAACAAATTGCAAATAGCTTTTTATCTAGAATCCTATTGAATCGTCTAAAATTGATGACACGTGAAATTACAAAATTAGAATTGTGAATAATAGATTGTCGGAAGCCAGCTTTACACACTACAAGCTAATGAACGACGATAAACGCTGTAGTATAATTAACAGTATACTAATTTCAGAGATCGTTCGCGCGAGTTTATTATGTTGATCGAGGATTGTTGAGAAGAGGTAAAGTCGGTAGTGATTCTATTGTCTCTTGTTATCGAAACCAGGATTCTTCTAGCGCGGTAATCGTTACAATTAAAGTTTCTCCTAGTTGTATCGCGCGGCTGACCCCGCGGAAATTAATAAATTATATTAAATACTCTTAGCCCCCCCCCCCACACACACACACACACACACACACACACACATACAAATACATACAGCGAGAGAATGCGATGTATAAAGAGCTACTCGAATGTTAATATTAAGTTATCGCGATCTTGGCACTTGTTACTCAAAGAGAGCCATACTTCTTTCCCAGGATTATTATAGCATTTCAAAAGAGATACGCGAATGCGGAAACTTTTTAGTAGATGCAATAAAAAAAGAATAAAGAGATTTTTATAAATACATACGTTCGACTAACTGCTGTTGCTGATTTGTTTTCCATTTGACTTGATACCTCGTTGCAGGAAGAGTAAGATCCTTCTCTTTCGAGTCGCCGTTACATTCTGACACAAAAACGTATAGCAACTTCATGGCACAAGAGTCAATTATACTTAATTTTCTTTAAATTATACTTTTAATTATACTTTTTTTTCTCTTTTCTTTATCTCTCCAAGAAGTTCGTGTAGACGTTCGCCTCATTTTAAATGCGAAAAGTGTAAAGAATTGTTTAATTGCGCTATCTGCAGGCCAAGATTAAAGTAGAATTTTAATTGTATGTGACCAATGAGGTCGCAGTACACTTCGGAGAAAACGATTGCAGCGTTACCAATGCGTTTCAAAGGGTGCTAGGGATGGGTAATATACGCGGCAGGAAGATATTCTGCACAATTTTGCGCATAAAATGTCTATTATACGCAGAATACGCAAAAACGCGCAGAATATGCAGAAAACCCCTCAGACGCGCCCACTCTAACCTATAATAACCTTTCTTCCTTCAATACATAGTTCCAGGCAGCTTGCACTTTGCCTTAATATCATTTCACGATTTGAAGAGATATTGCGCACCACCAAAACGGTACGACTTCGCCAAAAAATAAGTAGTTCGAAAAGGATCTTAGGGATATGTACATACTCCCAGACGGTCGAACCAATCCTTCTAAAATAACCTGCCAGAAATGAAAAGTCGAATCGATGTCGACCTGACTTTTCATTTCTGTCTAGGTACGGTTTTTAATTCACCGATGGATCCATCGATGAATTAAAAAAACTCGCCCTCCAATCCTACTCGCTGCTCTTGAATCAGTTTCATTAATACATCTATATACCCAGACAACACAAGATCTCCTGGTACGTCCTGAGGACGTCCTGAGAGTCAATTCTGTATCTCGAAACGAAGTGAAAATTACAAAAGTGAGCACATTCACTAGGCACTGATTAATGAAATTACGAATATTCTAGTATATTTGCTCACTTTTGTAATTTTCACTTCGTTTCGAGATACAGAATCGACTCCCTGAGGACGAAGAAAAGTCCTCAAGACTTCCTCAGCATGTACTCTGGATGTCCTCTGGACATCTGTGCTGTTAGACTGAGTTCCCATTGAGCGCGTCACGAGTCGCGTCGTTTGCCTGCGTCACGAGTTAACCAATCAAATTGTTCCATTGGAACAAATGCGTCGTGCGTCACGCGCGCGTCATCCCAATTAGAGGATTTGATTGGTTAACTCGTGATGCAGGCAGACGACGCGACGCATGACGCGCTCAGTGGAAACTCAGCCTTAAGCCCATTCTACAATTGTGTAAGTATAGTCGTGAACGTAAGAATCAACCAATCCGAATGTTTTATTCACTGATTGCTTTACTCTGATTGGTTGTCGTAATCACTTACAACCACTTACATCCACGTTCACGCAATTGTAGAATGGGCTTTAGGGTATACATGCCCATACAGCACAGAACGTTGAAAAAATGTTGATGAGACGTTGCAACGTTGAAGATAGAAGTGCGGATACTTTTTCTACATAGAATATATGTTGATTTTTCTACATTAATTACAAGATATTGCTGCAATGTTCAATATATATTGAATAAAAAGTTTTTTGCAACAATATTTGAGGAACATTGAAAATTATATTATTGATAATATTAAGGAAAAATTATTTGTTATTGTATAATAATATTAATAAAATAAATTATTAAATTTTATTATGTTAATATATATGTATTATACATATTATATTACAATATAATATAATCATATATATTTTTCTTATTATTTATATGTAAAATTGAAATTGATGTGTTTAAGCAATTTTGCGCAAACTCTGAATATTCTTGTATTTCATAATATTCTCTATTATATAGAATTTGATGCAAACTGTATCGATAACAAAAAATGCATAAAAACATTAAACTAGGAGGAATGGTCGAACCCAGCACAGATCTTGCAGCAACATTGCGGCAACACTGCTGCAACTTTTAACATTGCTGCAACGTTGCAGCAATATTGCTGCAAGATCTGTGCTGTATGGGAAGTCATTTTGCAAGTAAATTACATAAACTTTAGAGATATTAAATAAAATAGGCGAATCAACGCGTGTATTTGCTACGTTATAATATACTATTATACTATGAACATTGTAAGTATACATTTTATAGACATAAATTGTAAAAACATCGTTGAAGTCATTGGAATCACCGCATGCCGCTCGATCGTCAGGTTACCTAGTGAGAAATGACTTACCGATAGACGTCGAAAAGACGTCGAATCGACATCGATTTGACGATTTCGATGTCGATTCAACGTCTTTTCGATGTCGATCGATAAGTCATTTCTCATTGGGTAAGCAACGCAGTCAGGATGGATAGGTGACTGGGTATACCGCTTCGGATTTGAAATTATCGAGAGAGAATTCGCGAAAGTTTTAGAGTGTGTTTTGACAATCTTCGGTTTCTAGCAGTTATAAGATATGAGAAAATTAGGAATTGGTTTTTTATTATAAAACAATAATGACTCCTGCACACAGGACGCGGTAATGCTTGCCGCGCGGCGGAAGTTCGCGCGACAGCCAATCAATATGCGGCTTTCCGTAATAACCTTCTAGTTCTTACGGTAAAACAACATATTGATTGGTTGTCGCGCGGATCCCGCCGCGCGGCAAGCATTACCGCGTCCTGTGTGCAGGAGCCATAAGAATAAATAAGACGTTGAAATATCAAGGAAAAATCAACAATCGCAGATATTTTTATATTATATCAAGGTTTGTGCAACGTTGATTCAATGTTTCTCAATGTTGCTGCAATATTGACATTGTTGCAATTCAACATTCTTTCAACATTACTGTGCTGTATGGGACGCCCATCACTGAGCGCTTTTTCCGCTGAACGCGCTCATTGGCTCATTTCGAATACGCGCCATAATATAGGTAGTCTGAAAAAAGAAGCTGTGTAAACTTGTCGCATTCGCCTATTTACTTCGTTTTCGGTGTCTTAATCGAGGAAGTTTTAACAACAATGGCAAGCAACTCCGGATTAAATCTAGAAATGTTGACGAAGTCAAGCGTCACGTCTTTTGTACAATGCGTCTTGGAATTGGTATGTTTCCGTTTGTTATAGTTTTGATTTAGCCTTCAATATTTTAGTAATTTGTATAATATAATAGTGTATGTTATAATGTTTGCTTATGGTTATTTAAAAGAATCATTTTTATTCATCACAATAACTTATACTTATTGTTACGACGATAATTGTGAAAAATACAACAACTGCAAGTTAACAGTACCTAAGAAATATTTTTAATTTCCTGATTTTCTTGGAAACGAAATCTCGCGTAAATTTATCTCGCAAATTTTATTTTGCATTTTTTATTTTATGTGAAAAGTAATCTCACACGATAGTATTATATGTTAAAGGATATCCGTCATGATAAGTACTAGGCAACATCATAAAGCTCAATATATCTCTTATCAGCTGTAATTAGAACCGTATTATATATATATCTTTTAACACAAAAAACTTCTTTAATTATAAAAAAAATTGCAGGTTGCAAATTCTTTGACTGCTCATGCTGCAGCAATTGCTATAAGAATACATACAGAAAAGCGCCAAATCCAAGTTATTGATAATGGTATTGGAATACAGAAAGATACTTTAAACCATATCGGAGAATATGACTCAAAAGCTACAAATAATCAGTATGGGATGTATAATCTATCTGAATCAAATAATCGTATGTTAATAAGCATTCGTCACTTGTCAGATGCTTTTACTATAGCTTCAAGGTATAAAGATTTGATGGAGACATTTATGAAGGTATCATCTTTAATTATTAGACATTCATAGGAAAATATTATTGTACAAAGTAGCATACAATTTTTATCAATTCTTTTCTGCACTGCCATACTGATGTAATAAGTTAAAGTGAAATAAAATGTATTTGTCTTACTCTAAATTATTACATCAGTATAGCAATACAACTGAAAAGAACAAACCTAGTATTAGATATTAGAACAAATCTAGTATTAGATATTAGAACAAACCTAGTATTAGATTAATTCTCAAATTTTGAAAGATAGAAATAATATTGATATTTTACATATTTTTTTTACAGATGTACAAAGTAGGCAGTACACCTGATTTAGTACGCATAGAGCAGAGACCTTCGCAAGGTACAACCATATCTATTTTTGGTTTTCATGAAATACCACTAAGGAAAAACTCAGACTTAAATACTATATGTTGTTTTATCGCAGCCATAGCTGTTGCAAAATTAGAGGTATAATATAATTTATTATAATAATATATGTGAATGTTTAAAGCAAAGTTTACATGTGAAACTGATATAATTTGATGAATCAGCACAATTAGAAATAGACAAAAAATATTTTATGTCAAATATTTCACGTTTTATTTTTTCTTGAACAAATATAATTATCGCGTATTGAAATCTGCATTTAACAAAATTATACAAATGTCAATCTGATTCAAAATTTTGAGCATAACTTTCTGTGTCATGATTTTATATTTAATCAGGTATCATTCTCAATTAGAGATGAAGAACAAGAGAGAGTTGTAATGAGGATCGCTAAACCGCACAGTCCAATTGATGTCTTGAGAACATTATTTGGAAAAAACTTGCCAATGAATCATATATGGTCGATACAGTGCGATGCAAAATATAATACGAACTATCACGGCTATGTAGGACTATCCGACAAAAATGCGATGCAATACATATTTCTAAATTATAGGCTTATCAATTGTTCTTCTATCTTGAAGTTGATTATAGCCGGCTTTAAAAAAAACCTCGATTTATCGTTTTACCAAAAATTTAACGCTCAAAGTTTGCAAGATGAAAATATCTTTATTTTGCTCTTTATTACACTCACACAAGATGAATTTGCATTTATTACTGAGAATGGCAAAAAACTCTTAATGTTTCGTGATATGCAGAAGATATTAAATAGCATTAAAACTTGGACGTTCAATTGTGTCGCGGAAAAAACCACAGTTTCTGCCAGTACGACTTATTCAAATGATGCACAGTTATTGAAACAAATATGTTTAAAACCAGAAGGATCTATCTTCGACAATATTGACAGATGTGTTAAAAATATTACACCTTTAATGAGAAGAAAAATTATCATAACTGGTATTAAGAGAAAAGCTACTATATCAAATCTTGCAACTACTTATTCCGATAAACTACGGAAAAAAATTAGCGATATTAAAATCGCAAATCATCAATCTAATCGAACAGATATTTTTTACGCAAAATATAAAAAATCACTTGGAAACCAAATTACCAAGAAATCGTATAATGATATTGATAAAATACAAGCATATAATCCTGCGATAACAAATAATGGGGCTAAGATAAACGATCATCATAATAGTGAAAACGACGATTTTACGAATATCTCTCTTTGTTCTGACTGGTCCAATTGGACTTACTATTCAAATAACGAACGCAATTCTGTGAGAAATGTCCAAGACATATTTCCCAAAGAAGACCCACGCTACCAACAACTCTTTGAATATATCAGATCATTTGATTTTCTACCTCAAAAGTTGTATAATCTCTTACGATATCATCAAGACAAAATAACAAACATAAAGTACGTTAATAACTCTAATAGTACAATCTCATGTAAGTAAAAAATCTCAAGTTTTATCAACTGAACAAAACCATATATAACGTAACTAGATAAATGCATCACATTTTCCATAGTTCCAGGAAGCTGGCAACATGAAAAAGTAGAGATATATCCGTGCAATTTGAAGAAAAGATTATGTGAACTCAGATTGTCGCATGCCTCATTGAAGTGCATTAAGGTACGTGAAGATATTCGAAGTCATAAATCATCTCGAACGATGACGAGCTATTTTAGCGAATGCTTCTTCTTAGGTCATTAATCAAATTAATGACGAATTCATTGCCGCGTGGATGATGTACGATCAAATGAAAGTACTATTAATGATGGATCAACATGCTGTTCATGAGAGAATACGTTACGAAGATTTACTTCTCAGTAAGTGATATTTTTTAATGAGAAAAAATATACTTCCTGTAAATATATTCATTCCACTCAAATCAAATTATATATCATATTAGTATACATATATAATATGTATATATTTTAGACTTATAATATGTAATAATCCTGTTGAAAAATATTTATTTAGGATACAAAGCACAGAACGAAGGTGGGCTGCTCTCTGTGAACTTGCGTAATCCTCTAACTATAGAATTTCCTACACAGACGTGTAATTTACTTTTATGTCATAAAATATTATTAAGGAAGTACGGAATCAGCTTAGGATCGTTGAGGAAAAATACATTGTTAATACGCTCAATACCGCAATGCTTAGTTGCGAGTAATAATCAGTGTAACAGTGAAAAAATATCATCAAGAATTTATAGTCTGTTAAATGACATACTGGAGAACCGTAATGCGGCAAATCATACGAGCACATTGCCATTAACTATTCATAATGCCATAGCATCGGAAGCTTGTCATGGTAATCATCATGTTTTACACATATTATTGTATAAAAAAAAATATATATATATATTTTATATATATATATATATATATATATATATATATATATATATATATATATATATATATATATCGTGTAATACGAGAAGTTTGCACACAGGTGCCATCAAGTTCGGCGACAAACTAACTTTCGAGCAATCTACGTATCTAATAAAGTTACTAAGAGGTACAAAATTTCCTAATCGATGCGCACATGGACGGCCGACTATAATACCGATGATGGAGCTTTCGGAACTAGAAAAAAGGAACATCAGGATGCGTGAGGTACATATTGTAGTTATACTTTCCAATTTTATTACAGACGTATAAACTTGGATAATTAATGGGAGATCTTCTACACGTATCATTTCTTTCTATTAATCTCAATTTATACGCATAAACGTACATATTTATCTATGTGTGTAAATGGATAAAAAAGTATGAAACACGTTATAACATATCATGCTGGATAGACATATATATTCACGAATTTTGAACAATATATATCTACATATAAATATTTTTTATTTTGAGTTGTTTCAACATGTAAGATTTTAATTGAATTTCGAAATATCTATTTGAATACTTAATTATCTAAGTTATATAAAATAAGAACAACTTTAAACTTAAATAAATTTATCCCGCAATGAAGCCGGCGATCAAAATTTCTTTGCCAAAGTAGTTAAATCTGGTAGAGACTAACATAACTTCCTTTCCGCCCAATGAAACTGGACAAACGTCGTTCGGGCGAAGGTAGAAACATACTGTGTAGAGTGCCATTTCCAACTCGGGTGAGAGACCCACGAGAAGAGTTGTAACTGAATGCTTTGTGTCGGGTACGTTAAACGCGGATCGTATCTTGATAGCTTCTGCCTTCTATAAAGTGTAGGATAAGCTATTAATTGTATGATTATATGCGTACAGATTATTAATCCTTAAGCATTTAAGATTCAATTGTGTTTAAATTACTCTATGTTGACGCTTTAATTATAAGAATATTTAATTTGTTTTAACGTTCTTACAATAATATTTGATGTGCTAATTTTTTGCAATAACATTATTTATCTTAAAATAGTTTACTTACGTCTCCAAGTTTGACGTCTTTTATATATCCGCGATAGTCGATATTCTTTTGCGCTTCCTGTTTGGCAAAGTAAATCCAACTTTGCGGCCCGATCATGTAAGAGTCAAGTTTCTCCGCCAAGAACACCGCTTCGAAACCGGAACTAGACGGCTCGCCCTCGACTCGCTGGAACTGTGAGAACCACATACGTCTCATGGTGTCTTTAAACTCATACTCATCATTCGGAATGAACTCCTTGTCGACTAGGAACTTCATCGCCGCTTTAAACACGTCAGTCTCCAAAAATTTGTCGAGCAATTCGGACTCTTCTTTGCGTTCCTCGGGCGTGACAGTTTCCTTCGTCTTCACATCTAACTCGTAATTATCATGCAACGCCAGTACGCTTTTAATCGTTGGGATTTCGTAAGCTTCAGATTTGACATCTAGCAAGCTAAAACAGTAAAATTTAAAACTCAGTGAAATTATTTGGTGCAAAATAAAGATTCTGTTCCAACACTGGTCAAGTTAGCACTGGTTACTCACGGCAATGGAGCATCGTCTGTGGTGCTGTCTTCCTTCGTCTCACCTTGCAAATTTACAGTGATGTATTTGTACGCGTTATTCTTGTCTATTTCAAAGAGATTCTCCGTCAATTTCTTAACTTCGTCGTTAGAAATCGGGTAATTCGGTGGGCTCGGCTCGTTCGAATTAGGTGGATTAGCGTTATTAGGTGCATTAGCTTCAGTTTTCTTCTCTGATTCCGTCACGACCGGCGACGACTGAGCTGGTGCTGACTGAGCCGGTGCTCCAAGATTAAGCACGCCAGAATTAGGTGCGCCGTTATTATTCGCGGCTGCTTCTCCGTTTGCTGGATTCGATTGATTATAGTAGTAATTGTTGTAAGTAATTTCGGTGTGACTGCCGCCGCCGCCGCCGCCGCTGCCACTGCTTCCTGGACTTCTACCGTAGATACCACCCGGCAGCAATCTGTTCACAGCTGCACTTACTCCCGCGCTCACACTGGAGTAAACCAACGCTTCTTTGGCCAGTTGACCGATACCCGGACGGCTCGGCTGGAGAACGGTGAGCGCCGGCGCTTGTGCAATAGCCGGTTGAACGTACGACGGACTGACAGCCGGCTGTCCGAAACCGCCATAGGATTGTCCGCCGTAAGGATGCCCGCCGTAAGGTTGCCCGCCATAAGATTGCCCGCCATAAGAATGTCCACCATAAGGCGGGCTGTAAGCTGGTGGTGGCGCATTGTGTTGCATAGACGGGTTGGAAGTTTGGCCGTATGGCGAATGACTTCCGTATCCAGGATACGAAGGATTGTTCATATTAGGTGACGGATATCCTTGATGTGTATTGTAGCCTGGGCTTCCGTAAGAATTACTAGCCGGCGGACGAGGATATCCACCTAGAAACGTTATAATAAAGATCAATGTCGACATGAAATTTTGATTTTTCGTCATAAAAAGAAATATATATATATATATATATATATATATATATATATATATATATATGATATAATTAGGAGGCTTTAAACTAGACTTTAAGATAATATAATTTTTGATAAAACCAATTTTCTCTCTCTATACCGTAAATATGAACAAATGTGCAAAAAATGTCGTAGTTTTATTATTATTAATAAGCATTATTTTTATTTATTTGCAGCATAGAAACTAAATTAGCTAATATTATATTGGCAATCTTTGCTTTATTAAGTGGAGATATATTAAATACCTGACGGACTATATGGTGGCGGATTATTCGCTGACGGATTGTATCCGGATTGAACATTCGTTGCACTAGTTTTGGAAGCATGTTCAGATACCGGAGCCGAAGGCTTAACATTAGTACTAGTCGCTTTGTTGTTATTACTTGGTGGTACATTCCATCCTATATTAGTCGGAGTTGAACCTGTAAACGTATAAAATTCGTTATTATTAGAGGTATGAAGTCCGATGAAGAACATGTGAGACGTGTGAAGCCATAGAAGGCCATTCTTTATATGGAGAAGTGTGACTCATCGGATTTGGTAAAAGATTTACCGCGTAGATACATAAATATTTACAAGGCACGGCGCAATTCTTTGCGGGATAAAATGGAAAGAAACAACTCGATTAAAATTTTTCTAAAATGTTAACAATATTTACTTGTTTATTCAATAGAATGATAATATGAAACATTGCTTTTCTTTCATTACCAATAGTACAAAATAATAGAGCCTAATATAGTAGAACATGAATAGAATTTCGAATCTATACAAAAAGAATATGACAGTGAATATATAACAGAAGTTCGTATATAATAAAATATCGAGATTATAGTTTGTTCTTTTTCGAAGGACTTTCTGAACTAATGTACATTGGTGCTATAAGTTAGAGTGAAACAAAATATACAGTGTACATCAGTGTTCAGAAAGTTTTTCGAAAAAGAACAGACTCATTATTACTTACCGCTTTGTGTATTTCGAGGTCGCTGCGTCGTTCTTGTAGAGTATCTTCGGTTTGCAAAACTCGATGACCCTCCACTACCACTTCTACGTCCACCACCAGACTTGCGTCCATCGGTATCTGCTTTATACAGTGATAAGTGGTGTGTGTGTGTGTGTGTGTGTGTGTATGTGTGTGTGTGTGTGTGTGTGTGTGTATGTATAAAATATATAATATATTAGAACTTATTTATTCAGAATTTTTAAATCTGTCTAATATTGAACCGATACTCCTTTATTCACATACAACTTGCATATTATACACAGACAATTTAAAAGAGGAATCGAGATATATAAAGAAAATAGAAAATGTTTTAATAAAAACCACGGAAATATTTGAGATATTTTTAACTCTTATTGGGCTTATAGAATGATATTAGGCTGAATCGAGGTGTTACGATTTCTCTTCTACATCACAAAACGCACTGATTGAGTAACTGTCTATCAAGCTATCTAACTTGGTGTTCTCTTTTAATTCTCGTGATTCAATACTAGTGCAGAGATTATCAGACCAATTGTGTTCTTCAACAGATTATATAATCTAGTAACAATTGTCTATTCGTTGGTAGACTTAATATTATAGCGTTCAATATGCGAGATCGTATCTATGTCATGACGCAAGGAAAATTCAGGGTCGAATTCATCTCAAAATTGTTCCATAGTTTATGTACTATGCATCTCCATAGACTGGATCTAGTGAATGTGCTATATCCAGATCGTTCAAAACCAAATTAAGTTTCTCTCAATACATCTACCAATATAGAGCGATTATGATGCGTGATGATACTCTCATGAAAGCACAATTTTATTTAATAACTATATATGAATCTTATACTATATGTTGATACTGCGTTAATTTAGTATCGTATTATTCATAGCAAATTTTACAACTTTATAATTGTTTCGAACAAACAGTGCGTTCAAAATGTCAACATTTTTTTCGCGTGAAATTATTTGGATAATAGAAAAATTCGCAAATGCATCTGAAACAGTTCCTATATATAATTTTATGTACGATTTGTACGTAGCTTTCCATGAGAACAAGCAGTCTATGACGCGTGTGCGTAGTAACATAAATGTAATAAATGCCGACAAGTGAATAATATCGTCTGAAGAGTACACGTTGGCGTATCTGAGTAACATGAAAGAGCAATTTGCCTGGTGATTTCATCTATTACGCACTCTAGATTTGTCAGTCGATATATCATCGTTTCAGGTGAATTATATGTTTTAAATCCTGCTTACGTGATTGCATCCGTAAATTTTCTATCGCGTGAAGAAGGATTACATTTCGTTTTATGTTAAATTCGTATTTTATATAAAAAATGTTCTTTTTTTGTTGCCATTTAATTAACGGAGATTACATTCATTTCCGTCTTCATGAAAACTAAAAGACTCTTGTATTTTTTCACGTATAACTCGACAAACTTGAAATTAAAATTTAAAAACACATTGCATTTTTACGACATAATGTATTTTTGCATTACGTCACATTCACACGTGTATTTACATGACGCATCGAACGTTGTGTAATTCAAACACTTTCATTAACGAACAAATTGTGCCTTTATCGTTTGTTGAATAAATGTGACAATCAGTTCTACTGATAGTACCTCTTAATGGACGCCCATTGCATGTAATAAGATGGTTTCACTGATTTAAAGTCGATCTTTTCGTTTTCACAACGAAATTACCAGTACTTCTTGAATCATAAGTGACTGAAAGTGAAGGGGTTTCCGCGAAACAAGTTTCTGTAGTGCATATATAACACAAACTGGATGTTCACTCAATTTCCACCAAACTTAAAACATAACTTCAACTTGAGATACTCAACATATTTTTATTTAATTATATATTTACATTTATTTAATTTACTGTTTGTGTAAATTACATAAAAATATAAACAACGATGTAATGAGAAAAAGAAATAAGTTTATAAAATTTTCATTAAAAAGAAAACTCAGGAATAACCTTGGAAAGATCTTGTCATGAATATCCAATTATTCACATGCAAGTGTATGTATTTTTATCATCTATTTTACACTGTCTTATTAATTATAGTTTACTATATAATTTATACGATTACCAAAAATAAGTAGAATCACAATCACGGTAATCAGGAATGTCCTTATTCTCATATTTGTTGTCGTCTGGCTCGCTTCTGTTGGATTTATCGATCAAGTAAAAACTCGAACTCTGTCTGACACGCACTGTTTGCTCATGCAGAGTCGAAACGATACTGTTCGCGACCTTACGCGGAACGGCCTAGACGCCGTTGTAACCATCGTCCGTAACATTGAATGATTCATACTTTATAAGGCTTTCTCTTTCCGTTGATCCTCCGTGTTTTTGCGGAGTTGGAACCCGCCAATCTGTCTAGTGACTTTGTATTAATGAATTTTTCATTTTCGATAATGCCGAAGGAACCTATTCAGATTTGCGTTTCAAATTTCTACATGTCTCAGTAATGTTTTAGACACGCTTTAATATTTCATGAGATTTGTTAAGATATTAATCGGAAAATATTCAAAAACGGTATACGAGATTTTTCAGGCTTCTCACATTTTCTCTGATCTATTTATTCTTTCGTCAACTCGAGCTCTACTCTTCTATGAGAGTTTTCAAGTATTTGTGTAGGTCTGAAATATTTTAGAATATATACAATGTAAGCTTTTATGTACTAATATCAATTAATATTCTGTTTCAGAAAAAACTCAACTTCGCTTCCTTGAAAAGGCAGCACTGAAGTGAAATACATTCATGTAAGGAAATCATGTTACAAATTATTTGTACGTAACCAGTAACATAATCACAAATCGTGCTTTTCTTTTTTAATATTTTATATATCATAAAACATTATATTATACTTTCTAATTATAGAAAAATGTTTTACTATCTTATCTATCTTATCTTCACTACAAAAAGGTAAAACTATTTCTATAAAAATAAGTTATACACAGGTTATTATATATTTACAGGTTATTCAGATGTTAGATTTATTATGTTGTAAAAAGAAGTCAATGCTAATAAAAGCTATTCGTTTACATTCTATAATAATTTTTATTATGTAGTCTTCTACTAAAATTACATCCGCATATATTACACACGTTTGATAACTCACATGTTGAAGCGTTTATTTATATAATACAGTACTCTTTCGATAACTTTCCGTTCCCAAGAATTTTCCGCCCCTACAGCCCCTTGGGCGGAAAGTTATCTAGAGAGTACTGTAATATGATTTTAGAAATTTACTTATATAATAATATGATTAGAAAATGGGAAGTGCGAGATCTATGAGATCTCTCCCGTAATATCTAAACGAGTGTGTGTAAATATTGAATTTGTTGCCACCGAGAGAGACGGGACATAAGTCGTTGGGCCTAGCGAAAAAGCATATCGTATACAAGGACATTTCAAGTTCAGGAAGAGTACCCACGAATATCGTCGCATTTGGCCTGATAATATCATCCATTTGGAAGTTCAGCTTCACTAACGAGGCGTTCTAAAAAGTAAGTAGTGTAAAATATATTCCAAAATATGACATACTAATTTAAAATATCTCTATTATAGGAGAAATAAAATCAATATTTATTTCTACATTCCTCAGTTATGTTTATAGTTGAACTTAGGAAAGTTTTATATGCTTGAAAGAAAGATTTTATATGATTTTTATAACTGTGTGTATGTGAATATATTGAAGAGATGAACATTGACTTTTCTTTTTCTTCATATTACGATACAATGACACTCACATCTCCTAATTTTAACATGTCGACGTATCCCTTGTAATCGATACGATTCTTGGATTCTTGATATTCAAAATAAATCCAATCCTGCACACCAAGAAGATCGTAACCGTATCTTTCGGATATAAAAACACGCTCAAACCCTGAAGTGGCGCCATTAAATTGGCTGAACCAAATATGTCGCAAAGTGTCTTTCCACTCAAAATCATCCGGATCAATAAAACCTCGAATCGACAACCATTTCATAGCTCTAGCCATCACATTCGTGTTTAGAAACACATCCAACAAAAGATCTTCTGCCTTTCGCTTCGTGATAGTACGGTTCTCCTTCACAGTGGAATTGTGCTCGTAATTGTCATAGAGCGCTCGAATAGCTAAAATGGTCGGATACTCGTAAACCTCTGATTGCACGTGAATTAATCTACAAATAACGAATGTATGTAAATATAGCATAAATTGAAGTGACAATAATTAAATAATGATATCTGTTCCTCGAAAAGAAAGGATCAATCGTTCATTTCTCTCTTTTTAGTTTTTATAAGAGTTTTGTAAGTAAAGTTTAAAATTTGGAAAACTTTTGAAGATTAAACGTAAATTTAATTTTTAATCATTAAAATATTATTTAATATAGTTTGCATAACTAAAAAGAAATGTACATATATTTATCCTTTCCTTTCCAAGATATCAAATATTCAAATAAAGATTCAGATGTAGAATATTTACGGTTCTTTAGCTTTATCTGTTATATTCGGGGATTTAACTGCACTCTGTAGATGTAACGTCAAATATTTGGATACATCGAATTCTTGTAGCGCGAATAATTCTTCAGTTAACGTCCACAATTCACCATCTGATATTCTATATTGTGGCATATTACTATTGGCCCATTGATCTGATTCTTGATTATTCATCGTATTGTTGGTAGGATATCCGTTTGGAGGAACAGCTGAAAAACCTTCAGTGCTATTGGTTATATCTGTCATACTAACGGAAGAATCAACTGGATTCACGACGCTAGCGTTGTTCCCGCTAACGATTGTAGGAATCGATACTCCTGGATTATTCACTGGACTTGGATAATTGGCAGGATAACTGACACTTCCCTGATTTAGAGAAGGCGGTACAACAGGTGTGTTACCTGTAGGACTGCCGTTAAAATAATGATTGTTATAAGTAATATGCGTTTCGCTCGTAGTAGTACTGCTGCTAGCTGGTCTGCTGCTGTCCGATACGAAGTGATGATGATGTGGATTTAACAGCCTGTTCACACCAGCGTTAATAGTAGAGAACACGAGTGCCTCTTTTACCATCTGACCAAAGCCTCTGCCACTGTCTTGCTGACCGGGAGCCATAATGACCGTATGCCCAGGTATGTACGGTTGCGCTGCTGGTTGCGCCAACATGTGTTGTTGAGGATAATAGCTAGGTCCTGTGGAACCGTACGCACTACCAACCGGGTGTGTAGCATAAGGATTGCCGAATGTGCCCGGTACAGGCGGCGGAACATGTGCCGGATAACTAGTGGGATGTCCAATCTGATGACTAGGAAAAGAGTGGCTGGGATTGTAAGTAGAATGAGGTTGATTAGCGACGGAGTGAACAGGATAAGAGAGACGTTGATTAGAAGTGGAAACAGGGTAAGGTGCATGTGGATAAGGTGCAGAAGGAACGTGGGAGGGAACGGGCATCGATGTAGGACGTAAATGATCTTTAAATCCGATGTTAGTTGAGACAGGAATTGGCGGATGAGATTGACTCGGATTGTAATGGGAATTGCTCCATGCAGGATTGTTATGAGGTACAGTTCCCTGCGACGGGTTGAAAGGCGCGCTCGGTTGGCCAAAAGAAGTTGGAGCTGTAAAAAGATTAGGTAATGTATCAATCATTATCTATATTATATAATCTATATTATATTACTATAATTATTTTGCATAAATTAGCAATTAGACAGTTGGGCTGAAAAGTTCGTAGGCTAACATAGTAAAACACATTTTTCTGGTAAAATTCGATTTTACTCAACTTTTTATTCAACATAGTTGCCTTCGAGGGCGATACAACGATTATAGCGGTCATGCAATTTTTCGATACCATTTTTATAGTACGATTTCTCTTTAGCCTCAAAATAGGCCTCACTCTCAGCGATTACTTCTTCATTAGTGCTGAGTTTCTTTCCAGTGAGCATTCTTTTGAGGTCTGCAAACAGGAAAAAGTCACTGGGGGCCAGATCTGGAGAATACGGTGGATGGGGAAGCAACTCGTAGCCTAATTCATGCAATTTTGCCATCGTTTTCATTGACTTGTGACACGGTGCATTGTCTTGATGAAACAGCACTTTTTTCTTCTTCAAATGGAGCCGTTTTTTCGTGATTTCATCCTTCAAACGCTCCAACAACGCTATGTAATATTCGCTGTTGATGGTCTGGCCCTTTTCAAGGTAATCAATGAATATTATACCTTGCGCATCCCAGAATACTGATGCCATAACCTTGCCAGCCGACTGTTGCGTCTTTCCACGCTTTGGATTCGGTTCATCGCGTGCAGTCCACTCGGCTGACTGTCGATTGGACTCTGGAGTGTAGTGATGAAGCCATGTTTCACCCATTGTCACATATCGACGGAAAAATTCGTTATTATTACGGTTGAATATCGCTAAACATTGCTCCGAGTCAACGACACGTTGCAACTTTTGCTCGATTGTGAGCTCACGCGGCACCCACTTTGCACACAGCTTTCACATGTCCAAATATTCATGCACGATATGTCCAACACGCTCTTTTGATATCTTCAGAGTCTCAGCTATCTCGATCAACTTCAATTTACGGTCATTCATAATTATTTTGTTAACTTTTTTTATGTTTTCGTCCGTTACAGCCTCTTTCGGGCGTCCACTGCGTGTATCGTCTTCGGTGCTCATTTCGCCCCGTTTAAATTTAGCAAACCACTTTTCAACGGTTGATTTTCCTGGTGCAGAGTCCGAATAATGTTTATCAAGCCAAGCTTTGGCTTCAACAGTATTTTTTTCATGATAAAGCAATGCTTCATTAACACACGAAATTCTTTTTTATCCATTTTTTTTACGATAACAAAAGTTGCTTCACTCACAATGCTATATCTCACGAACCAATTGTTCGACAGCTGTCAAATTTATACACGTATCGTTTGAAGGTTAGTACTAACTAAAAATCATATGGATTTAATTCTAGTAACACCATCTATGTGTCAGCCTACGAACTTTTCAGCCGACCTGTAATTGATATTATATTTTTTGCAATAGATCCAAGATCAACGTATATGTGAAAGCTTTACTTTGGTTTCATAAAAATTTAAAATGATAAATTCTTTTAAGTTAGAAACAGTAAGAAGAATGCACACACACACACACACACACACACACACACACATACATACCATGGCTTTGTGAAGATACCATGGTGGATTTCGATATATGACCTGACGATGGTGCCGATGGAGCCGATGGATTATAAGGATTAGAAGCAGAATTTTGTTTGTTTTCTGTCGTAAAACCTATTTTCCCTGTTTGACTTCTAGTATATGTTCCTATTTTAAACAATAATAAAGTGTATCAGTGAATGTTTTATAGAAAGAATGAATATAATAGAAGTGAAAATTTCATAAAATAAGAAAATTATGAGACAATAATGTCTAGCAATATATATAATATATATAAATCTATCTATAGTCTATGTAAATTATTATTAATAGCATTATAATTATTAAAATATCAAAGTAAAAAATATCAAAGTAAAATATCAATATTATTATTATAATTATTAAAATATCAAAGATTTTTTGTCTGCAAAAAATATGTTCATGAGGTACCTGTGTTTCCATATGGTGCTGATGGCTGACCAAAAGAAGAGTGTGTAGGATTAGTTTGAGCTATAAAAA